TATAGAGGATGTTCTTCCATCCTGTTCTATCCATACTGGCCCCAGGGCTACACTATGGGCTATCTCCTGTTTAATCTGCTCAAAAGCCTGCTGCTACTCAGGACCCCACAAAAAAATCATTCTTCTGTGTCATCTGATAAAGGGGGCTTACAATGAGGCTGTAGTTTGGAACATGCATTCAGAAACAATTGTGTCTCTTTCTTATTAGTGGGTGGAGACATGGCAGTGATTTTGTTGACCACATCTGTCGGGATGTGACAATGGCCATCTTGACACTTTATATCTAGGAACTGAATTTCCTGGGCAGTTCCTTTCACTTTGCTTCTCTTAATAGCGAAACCAGCATGCAGAAGAATCTGGATTATTTGCTCTCTTTTCTCAAAAACTTCCTTTGCTGTGTTGCCCCAGACAGTGCTGTAATCAATATACTGTAAATGCTCAGGAGCACCTGCCTGTTCCTGTGAGGCTTGGATCAACCCATGGCAAATGGTTGGGTTGTGTTTCCATCCCTGGGGCAAACGATTCCAGGTATACTGAATGCCCCTCCAGGTGGAAGCAAATTGTGGCCTAGATTCTTTGGCCAAAGGAATGAAGAAAAATGCATTAGCAGTATCAGTGGTGGCATACCATTTGGCTGCTTTTGACTCCAGTTCATAATGGAGGTCTAACATATCTGGCACAGCAGCACTCAATGGGAGTGTGACTTCAGTCAAGCCACGGTAGTCCACAGTCAGCTTCCATTCTCCACTGGCTTTATGCACTGGCCATATGGGGCTGTTAAAAGGTGAGTGAGTTTTGCTGATCACTCCCTGATTCTCTAATTGACGAATTAACTTCTGAACAGGGGTCAAGGAATCCCTGTTGGTGCGGTACTGACACCTGTGCACAGTTTTTGTAGCAATTGGTACCTGTTGCTCTTTCACTCGTAGCAACCCCACAACAGATGGATCTTCTGACAGGCCAGGCAAAACAGACAACTGCTTAACACCTTCTGTGTCTACAGCAGCTATTCCAAAAGCCCATCGATACCCTTTGGGATCCTTAAAATATCCCCTTCTGAGGTAATCAATACCAAGTATACATGGAGCCCCTGGACCAGTCACAATAGGGTGCTTTTGCCAATCTTTACCAGTGAGGCTGATTTTGGCCTCCAACATAGTCAGCTCTTGGGAACCCCCAGTCACCCCATGAATATAAATTGATTTTGTCCCTTCGTGACTCGAGGGTATTAGAGTGCACTGTGCACCAGTATCCACCAGGGCCTTATATTTCTGTGGTTCTGATGTGCCAGGCCATCTAATCCACACAGTCCAATAAACTCTATTATCCCTTTCTTCCCCCTGGCTGGGGGCAGGGCCCCTCTATTTGTTACCTCTGTTGTCTGCAGCAACTGGAGCAAATACCTTTTTGGAGAGGTTCACCTTGGTGGTTGATTTGTCTTGTAATTCTTTAACCCGTGCTTGAAGTGCAGGAGTAGGTTATTTATGCCACTCCTTCACATCTCCATGGTCACGTAGGTAATGTCACAAGGCAAAATGTGACATAGTCTTACTGTTGTCACTTGCCTGAGCAAGAGGACATCTTCTTTTGATAGCTGAGACATTGGATGACACCGGCTGGGAGGAAATCAAGTTGATTAGCCCCTCCAGCAGGCTGTTTTGGGAATTCTGCTCCCTACTGGATGTATCTGTTACCACCATGGATTCATCAGTATCAGGCACGGTTGATAGCTTGTCTATTATATCTTCTTGTTTGTTCTCCATTCTGTCCAGCTTTTCAGCTACTTTTGCAATGGCTGAAACACAAGCTCATAGAAGGCTTAAATGCAACTCAAAGTCTCGAAGTTTATAAACCAATTCATTTATAAGGAGTCTTCTTTCTCTTCTGCCATACATTGCTGCAAATGTACTGGTGTACTTTTCTTGTGCAGTCTTTGTGAATGTATACCACATGTTTGGTGTACACCTGACTCTCTCAGGATCATGCTCTTGGTCTGGCTCATTAGGAATGAAACTGGGGCTATGTAGCGTTTCCACCACAGCATATTCTCTCAAATAATGGATGCCTTCTTCCATGTCAGCCCATTTCTTTTTCTCAGGCATCAGATCATCTTTGAAGGGGTATCTTTGATCTGTTCAGGGCGCTTGTGGCACAGGTCCCTAGGGAGTCGTTTCTCAAGGGTAAAGGGGTCCAGGAAGTCTGGACGCTCCTCAAGAAGGAAATCTTAAAAGCACAAGAACAGGCTGTCCTGAGTGCTGTAAAGTGAGTCTGGTGTGGATGAACTGGGAACTGTTGTTGAGACTCCAGGAGAAAAAGAGAGTCTATGTCCTCTGGAAGAAGGGACAGACTACTACGGGAGGTTACAAGGAAGTTGTTAAGGTATTCAGGGAGGAAGTTAGGAGGGCAAAAGCCCAACTTGAACTCAGATTGGCCAGTGCAGTAAAAGTGAATAAGAAATCCTTTTGCAAATATATCAATGGTAAGAGAAGAACCGGGAAGAATTTCTATCCTTTTTTTGATGCAGCAGGGAGTGTGACCACTGAGGATAAGGAGAAGGCTGAGGCCCTCAATGCCACCTTTACATCTGCCTTTAATAGGCAGATCATTTAACCTCAGGGCACTTTACACCCTGATCTGGAAGCCTGGAATGTTATGCAGAATATACCCCTAATTATTCAGATGGAGACATTTAGAGAACTCCTCTGTTTGGACTGTCACAAATCCATGGGACTGTATGGGCTTCATCATAGGGTGCTGAGGGAGCTGGTAGAGGTCATTGCTGAGCCGCTCTCAGCCATCTATCAGCGCTCCTGGTTAACTGGAGAGGTCCCAGAGCATTGGAGGCTTGCAAACGTGAATCCCATCTACAAGAAGGGCTGTAAGGATGATCCGGGGAACTATAGGCCTGTTAGCCTCTCCTTGATACCAGGGAAAGTAATGGAGCAAATCATCTTGGGTGAGATCACACGGCACATGCATGGTGCCCAGGGGATCAGGCACAGCCAGCACGGGTTCATAAAAGGCAGGTGTCAGGCTCAGCAATTACCCCCGCCAGCTCCCTCCACATCTGAGGATGTAGCCCATCCAGACCCATGGACTTGTGACAGACCACATGGAGGAGGAGCTCTCTAAGTGTCTCCACCTGAATCGCTGGGGGTATATTCTGAACAGTGTCCCAGACTTCCAGATCAGGGCATAAAATGCCCAGAGGATAACTTATCTGGCTGTTAAAGGCAGATGTAAAAGTGACATTGAGGACCTTAGCCTCCTCCTTGTCTTCAGTGGCCACATTCCCTGCTGTATCAAATATATGATGAGAATCATCTTTGGTTCTTCTTTTACCATTGATATATTTATAAAACGATTTCTTATTCACTTTTACTGCACTGGCCAATCTGAGTTCAGGTTGGGCTTTTGCCTTCCTATCTTCCTCCCTGCATACCTTAGCTACTCCGTTGTAACCTCCCCTAGTAGCCTGTCCCTTCTTCCAAAGAACATAAACTCTCTTTTTCTCCTGGAGTCTCAACAATAGTTCCCAGCTCATCCACACCGGTCGTCTTCCCCTACGGCTCTCCTTACAGCACTCAGGACAGCCTGTTCTTGTGCCTTTGACATTTCCTTCTTGAGGAGTATACAGGCTTCCTGGACCCCTTTACCCTTGAGAAGTGACTCCAGGGGACCTGTGCCACAAGCGCCCTGAACAGATCAAAGTCTGCCCTCTAGAAGTTCAAGAAAGTAGTTTTACTGGTCATTCTTTTGACATCTCCAAGAACAGAGAATTCTACAATTCTGTGGCTGCTCTGCCCAAGACAATCCCCAACCTTCACATCTCCCACCAGACTTTCTATGTTAGCAAAAACCAGATCCAGCAGGGCACCACCCCTGGTAGGCTCTCCTACCAGTTGCATAAGGAAGCTATCTTCCACGCAGTCTAGAAACCTCCTGGACTGTTTCCTCTGTGCTATATTGTATTTCCAACATACATCAGGGAAGTTGAAGTTTCCCATGAGAACAAGTGCTCATTGATTGCGTGACTTCCGCAATCTGCTCATAGAATGCTTCATCCAACTCTTCGTCCTGGCTAGGCAGTCTATAACAGATCGCCACCAAGATGTCGCCCTTATAGGCCTTCCTCCTGCTCCTTACCCATAGACATTCCACTCCGTCATTCCTAACCGCAAGCTCTTCAACATCGGAAAAGTCTTTAATATAAAGGGCCACACCACTGCCCTTCTTCCCTCGTCTATCCCTTCTGAAGAACTTGTAGCCATCTATCTCAGCACTCCAGTCACGGGAGTGGTCCCACCATGTTTTGGTAATAGCAACAAGGTCATGATAATAACTCACAATCGCTTCCAACTCTTCCTGCTTATTGCCCATGCTGCGTGCATTGGTATAGATGCACTTCAGTTGAGTCATCTGCCTCACCCCTAGCTCAAGCATCATTCCCCTAGATTCATCTCTTGAGAGGTCTGTTTTGTCCCCCTTCTGTAGTCGAACAGGGTCGACAGGGGCCCCTCGGCCCCTGGGAAACCATGGCAACAAATGGCCTGAAGATAAGGGAGAAGAACAAGATAGACCAAATAAGGAAGAAACAAGACATGCCACATGTCCATTGGTCAGGTAGTAGCCCTAAGGCATGGGGAAAGTTTTAAGAAGGATGTGCTCCTTGCAATTAACGCCATTTTACCATACATCACATTGGTGTGCACCTTGGGTAAATGGACAGACCGAGGAGTCCCTAACGATTGCGAACACCTGTATGAGGTCTTTCGCAGGCGAAAGGCTTCATCTGGTGACCCCGACGTGATCGTTAGGGAATAGTGGTCGGCCACAGGCGGCGTGGCGATCCTGCTCTCATCCGTCTCCCTTGGGGAAGGAGGCGATGACCCTAGAAGAGGGGGCTGCGGCTTAGGAGAGTGGAAGCTGGGTAGCATCGGAGGGGGCTCTGCGCGCGAGAGCCTGTTTGACCTGCCGAGGACCCAGGTGACCATCGGAAGAGGAGCCCGGTGGTTGTGTGATCCGCGGGAGAGTGCCCGGTGGAGATCCGCGGGAGTACGCCCGGTGGAGGGACTATGGAGGCCGTCATAAAGGTGATTTCGTCCGCGTGTAAGACCTACTGCGGGAAAACTTCTCCTTCTAAGAAGGAAATAGGGGCAATGTTGTCCCTTTTACAAAAGGAGGGACTGCTTACATCTCCCTCAGATTTGTATTCCCCGGGGTCCTGGGATCCCATCACCGCAGCGCTTTCCCAGCGGGCGATGGTACTCGGGAAGTCAGGAGAATTGAAAACCTGGGGACTGGTTTTGGGGGCGTTGAAGGCGGCGCGGGAGGAACAGGTTACATCTGAACAGGCGAAGTTTTGGTTGGGCTTGGGGGGAGGGAAGGTCTCTCCCACATGTCCCACAGGAAAGCCAACTACTGAGCCTCAGGTCGATGAGGAGAAAGGGAAAATGGCTGCGCGCGTTATGATGGGCTTCGAATTTAATAACACCGTGAGAAACGGAGCGGGAAGCGTACTTTCTTGCAGCTCCCCTGAGGAAGAGAACACCGCAAATATGCCCTCAGCTATGGCGACTAACATCTCGTCCGCACCATCGGCACCCCCTTCTGCTCCCCCCTCGGCTCCAGCTTCGCATAAACAAGTAGAAGAAGACTGCGCTGAACTGTCTGCACTTTTATCTTGCAAAACGGCTCAAGTGCAGGAATCCAAGGTCGCTGAAACTCCCCAGCCGTATCCAGGACAACCGCTGTATCCTTCTCTGTGTAACCTAACACCACCTGTGGGGGCAGGGGGAATAGTGAGCTGGGATGGGACACTTGCTGTCTCCTCTCAGGAGGTGGAATGCAGTAACACCCAGGGGGGTGGGGACTGCGGGCAAGGCTCGGGTACGGATTGGTCAAAAGTTAGAGAGGTAGTAGAAGAAAAAGCAGAGAGAAAGGGAAGCGATGTAACTTACAGGCGCTGGGATGACAGTGTCCGGCCAGCACTGTCCACCCTGATTGCGCCTGAAGGAGTAGGTGGCGTCCGGCCGGCGCCCTCTGCTCAGGTTGCACCCGATGGAGAAAGAAATAACGACAGTCTCCGGACCCACTCTCTGCCACAGTGTTCAGACCCATTGACTCGACCCACACATCCTTTTACAAGATTGAGTGCGCATGCAACCAATCAGAAGCCTCTACAACAGTCAGTGTATGATCAAAGGGAGATGGGCACAGTGGGAGCGGTGCGGAGCCCGCAGCTTCCAGCTGTGACTGAAAAGGATAGCGAAAGGAGAGAGGTGAATCTGCATTTGGGAGTTAAGAGAGATGCACTAACAGATTGTGGGAAGTTTAGATCTAGCCTGATAGAGGAAGGAAGAGCACTAGAGACCTTCCTGACAGAAGGGAATGATAACAGAGGTCCGGGAGGGGTATCCCTCGATCTGAAAGGCATCACACACCTGATAGATTGTGCAGAGAAATGGGGATTGAAATCATCCCTCACTTTAAATGCATTAGAAGTCCTGACAGCATCAGGCCTTCTCTTTCCTCATGTAACAAATCTGATGTGCATGGTTCTTAAGCCAGTGCAGTATACATTGTGGGCATCAGAATGGTTTCCCTTCAGGGACAGGTGGCCAGATTGAGGCCTGGAGAACAAGCAATTCCATACAGCAGGTTTGTGAGAGCAATGCTCTCAAAGCCTGAGACATCTGCCTTGTTATTGAACAAATGTTTATCATTTTTGAGGTACATTCCAACAGGTACCTGAGACAATGTTGGTATATATTGGGCACAGATAGTGCCACTAGAGCTATCAGCAATCACTCTAATCTCTAATCTCTCTGTCTATAACTTTACTAGTATTGTAGGATGTGGCTTTAATTATTAAGTGTCGTGACATCACATCAGTTCTTGCAGGATAATTACACGGTGATTAAAGACCTATCACCTACTCCAAGTGGGATGAATCTCGCTTTGGCTTACCAAGGAAGGAACTTGGTAAGGAAGCTTTTGCAACATGATGACCTGCACCAATCCTGAAACGTGACAGAGACAATGGGCCGAAAACCTTGATCACCATTCACCATGACCCAGAAGAGATCCATCGTGTCCTAGAGAGAGTAAAGAAGGACGGAGAACATCACTTATGGGAAGTGCTTCTGGGATGGTCCACCAATGCGACGGGAATGTTTAACTCTGTTTAACTCTATTCATTATTCAGTTATAGTTGTATTAGGTCTAATATTAATACACTTTACGCTTATAGTCATATTATATATAGATATATAGGTATATTACAGATATAAGTATAGTGTGTGCTGAGACAAATGACTCATATGGCAAATGCCAAGATGAACGAATCAGCATTGAGAGAATGGAATATATAGCTTTACATAGAACTCACGTTTAAGATATTAGGATTATTAGGTTTATAGGTTATAGGGTTATTACGGTAGGGCAAGAATATTTTGCGAATCGGGATGTAACGGGGCAAGGCTTAACTGAGAGGACAATGGCATGTATAGGCGCAATGCGGGGATTTCGGGTTGTACGCGGTTAGGGTCCTCTCAGAATGTAGTAGTTACGCTTATGCATAGGGAGGGGGAAATGTAGTCGAACAGGGTCGACAGGGGCCCCTCGGCCCCTGGGAAACCATGGCAACAAATGGCCTGAAGATAAGGGAGAAGAACAAGATAGACCAAATAAGGAAGAAACAAGACATGCCACATGTCCATTGGTCAGGTAGTAGCCCTAAGGCATGGGGAAAGTTTTAAGAAGGATGTGCTCCTTGCAATTAACGCCATTTTACCATACATCACATTGGTGTGCACCTTGGGTAAATGGACAGACCGAGGAGTCCCTAACGATTGCGAACACCTGTATGAGGTCTTTCGCAGGCGAAAGGCTTCACCCTTCCCCCTCCATAGCTAGTTTAAAGCTCTTTCAATAAGCCCTGCTAGCTCCTGCACTAGTATTTATTGCCCCATTTGAGACAGATGGGTTCCACAGACAGACAACAGGCCAGGGGCCAAGTAAACTGCCCCATGATCAAAGAACCAAAAGTTTCTGGCTCGACACCAGCCTCTGAGCCAATTATTCATTGCTCGTGCTTTCCCATCCCACTCACTGTCCCTTACTGCCCCGGAAGGTATAGAGCAGAAGATCACTTGAGCTCCCGCTCCTTGAACTAAATGTCCTAAACCCCTCAAATATTTTTTTATAGTTCGTAGGCTTGTCTGAGCAATTTCATCACTGCCCACCTGAACTACGAGTAATGGAAAGTAGTCAGATGACCTAACCAGCTTAGGAAGTTTCCCAGTTATGTCCCTGACCCAAGCCCCAGAAAGGGATCACACTTCCAGACGGTCTGAGTCAGGTCTGCATATGGGGCCCTCTGTTCCTCTGAGAAGGGAGTCACCCATCACAACCACCCTTCTTTCTTTCCTGTCAGAGGCAGTCTCAAAGCATGGGGGTGACCGCCTTGCCCTAGGCTCTCTCCTAGGCAGATCCTCCATCACCTCTCCAGTCACCTCCCCTTCAACTTCCAGCATCTGGAACCTGTTACTTAGAGGGAGCTAGGGAAGCAGACTGGACAGGTGGGGGTGTCTCTTGTGACACAGAGTCAGGACTCTCTTCCAACCTTCCCCATCAGTCAGGTCTGTCTGACTGTGACAGGGCAGGGGGTCCACCACCTTTCTGTTTTGTTTTTTTTTTTCTCAGAACCCTTGCCTCTGGTAAGCCAGTGAGTTACTCCACCAGTCAATCTCCTGCTCACGCTCCCTGATGGTCCTAAGTCTCTGCACCTCATCCTTGAGCTCCACCACCATCTGCTCACACCTCGCACAGGTGGAGTCCCTGCCACTCTCCCCAGGCAGAAGTAGGCTCAGGCACTCCCTGCAGCCACAGACCTGAACAGCAACATTTCTCAGCAAGCTCTTCGTCTGGCTTGCCACGGCTTTCTTAGAATAAGCCCGTTGTCTAGTGGAGACCATGTTTCAGCCTGTAGTCTCAGAGACTGCAAAGGAAAACTGGTCTCCTGAGCAAGGAGGGACAAAAGCTTACAGTTCTCACCACTAGACCCACCTCCCACACGCACAGAGGTAGCACCCTATGGGAACTGTGGGCTGTGCTCACTCACTGAACCTCCCCTTTCTCAGTGAGCAGAAACTATGTTTTCTCACCAGGTTTGTTTTGTGTAATCGAAGCTATTTAAAGCTTATTACCAGGTGTGAAGGTTAAGGGCGGGTGTTTAAACTGTGCCGCTAATGTGCCAGATCCACCCTGGGAGACTCTGGAGCCCGTCCACAAGCTTCCAGCTCCTAGCAGAAGTGCGGTGCTGATGCTAGCCTCAAAAAGGCCTTTAAAAAAAAGACTTAAAATTGCTTTTTGGCTGGCCTTTTAATTCCAGATCCCTTGCCAGTGCAGATTTACCTGTTGAGAAGCTAGTCTCTGCAGGAAATGTGAACCATCTAGCCATCAGATGAGAAAAGCTCAAGCAGATCTCAGGAAAGTGGTTTCAGTAGATAGACTAGTGCTGCCTGGGGAAAGCATTGATCTCCATGTATTTCTTGGGATATGATTTCTTACAGGAGCTAGTGTAATCTGCATCTCAACCCTTTCAGACTGGAGTTGGATCCTCTGAATGTGGGCCTGCAACCAAGGTAAAATCACCATACAGTACTTAAAGCTACAGAGACTGTCCTGTCTTTTCTGCCCACAAATATCTGGATTTTCATCTTCCTTGTGGGAAAGTGTCACAATCCCTGAGAACCTTCTATGAGCCTGGAAAAGTGCTTCAAGAGATTTTGCCTAAAATGAACTGGCTTTCTCTAACTTCCTGAGTGAAAGGTGTGGCCTATCAGACCAGGTACTTGGCTGCCCAAGAAAGAAGTGGCACTGGAGGAACTTGTTTCAGAACATGTGCAGACATGATTGACACAGGAATCAAGCTAGTCTGGAGAAGGCCATTGCTGGTTTTAGGAGATCAGAGTGCCTGCCCACACAGATTGGGTCTCTGCTTTTGCAGCCTGGATTCTGTGCCCCACATCACATCCTGCTCCTGTCCTGATTCCTGTCCCTTACTCCTAAACACCAGACACTACCCATAGGAGAGATTCTTCTGTAGATGGCTGACTTAGCATGTGCATATTTGTTTATCTTTTAACAGATTTAGAGGATGAGAGGTCTGGATAAAGTTCCATATTGCTGAAGTAAATATCAGTGTGTCACTGGCTTCTGAGGAGCCAAAATCTCATCGGGAGTCAATATCTCATCCAGACCTTCTGTTCAAACTCTGACATTGGCTTACTGTCTCTCCAATCTACAAATTCTTAATGTTATGGTGTAATTATTCAATGATGTCACCAGACAGCACATTATTCACTATTAAAGGATATTTGCCTTCTCTAGCTTTAAAAATCTAATGTTCATTTAGTTACATTTCTTAGAATTCCTGTGAATAATATAAGGATGTTTAATTTTATTTTAGATACATAACTGATCTTGGGATGAGATAGATCCTCTATTAGATGTGCTTTTTCAGGGAAAGAACTTAGAGTACCAGTTTAACCACCATGCGTATAATTAAGGGTAAATCTGAATGCACATTACCTTGCAAAAGTTCAAGATATCATCTCTTGATTATTTTACTTATTTGAAAGAAGGAATAACACCATCTGCTGAATACTAAGGTTTGATTTATGATTTTTATGTGAAAACAACTGCAAGATTTTTTACCACTAACATGATTATGAAGCTTTCTTTTCTCCCTACAGAGAACAACTTGATCAAGGAATCACTTAGTTTCAGGGAAACATTATATTTGTGGCCAAGTGATAAGAACAGTATTTTGGAAATACAGTAAGCAATACCTCTACAAATGAACATCTGGTGACCAAAAGCAACATTTTGTGTGTTGGGGGGAAAGAGGAGGGAAACAAAACAAAACAAAACAAAACAAAACAAAAAACAACTAGATAATGCACTGGTCTGACCGAGGATATCACTTCTTGTCACAGCAAAGAAACCTCTGATGTGAGCTGCAAAGGCACTATGGCATTTAATGGAGAAATTTTAAAGTTTTGCCTGGATCTCTTACATCAAATGATTCATCATCACTTTTCCCACAAAGCTATTGCCATAAACTTTGTGCTGTTATGAAAACTGCAGATTGCTGATCTGCTTTCTGAGTCTCCTGTTTCTTGATATGAAGCTTCCATGTTGCCCAAAGCTTAACTATTTGTATCCCATCTTCAGTATACCGTACAGTACATTTTAGCCACACAGGCTGTTTGAATTATGCCACATTGCTCATTTGCTTGTCTCCCACCATGGTTCAGCTCTCATCATCAGCTTCAAAACAGCACACAGCATGACATACTTTTGTGTGTTCACTCAGACTGCAGTGGTCAAACTGAACAGTGAAAAGTCTGTGCCAGTTCTTCTCTGGCATTTGGATCTCATCAACTGCCAGACACTGTAAAAGAAATAATCTCCCAGTTGAAGACAGTTTGTGGTGGAATATGAAGATGGCATAACTGTTCAAACAGCTTTATTTGGCTTTCGGAGCCAGAGTTTTCCACTGTCAAAGTCACTGATTATCAGCTCAGCCAGTGCATGAAGCTTTTTTTCCCCTCCAAGCTACAGGACATTGAGTTCCATAATTGTTTACAGTCAAATGCTTATGCAATTGTTAATTGCCTTCTGTAAGCTGCTTGGCGAGTGGAGCAGGAGGAATGGTTTGATGAGTAGAACTAGAGTCCAAAGCACTGTGGAGCTTGCAGCAATAGGATCCCTGCTGATAAGAAACAAACACAACTGCTTTTGTGTCATTATTTTTTTTTGGCTGTATTGGACAAGTTTGGGAAAGTTATTGTCTCCTACCAAGTGGTGTAATAGGCAAAAACAATGTGCTAGTTCACCAGCCTTTCATCTCCAAACCAAGCACGACTTCTGGCTCTCATTGCTCTTCCAAATGACGTTAGTACATCTCCATCTATGCTAATTTCAGTGCCACAGTGGCTGGCACAGGCAGGATTCAGGTTGCTTCAGGTTGCTGCTGAGATTCACAGAATGAAGCTTGGAATAACTATATGATGAAGCCTACACAGAGATGTATTGGTAACAGGGAAAGTGAAGAGAGAAGAGTCAGATTAAGAAGCGGAATGACAGGCAAGTTATAATAATAATAGATGTATGTTGCTCCAAAAGTAATGGCAGTTGTTTATTTTCATGGAAACTACAACACATACAAAGAACACAGTAGCAGTATTTGATAGAGCAAATTCTCAGCTACAAAACACTGTTTTTCAGCACAGTCACCACCATGCACTCTGAATTGTGTGAGAGATGGACAGAAGACTGCATGCCACACTGATAAAAATCTGACCAGTGGAGGGGAACCTGTAACTGTCATAAGTACTGAAATGCACCATCAACCACCTCACTGAACTCACATCCTCCGTTTGGTCTCCATAAACATTCAGCACATGTGGATGAATGCAAATGGATACAATTTATTCTTTATGGAGAAATTCAGTGACCCACCTTTGCTTCACAAGCACTTCCATGTCAGACACCATTTTGTCAGACTACCCTTCTGCTCCATTTGTTGCATGACAACAAAATGTAATGGAATATTGGTGTAAAGATTCAAC